TATTTTATCACAAAAGTTGTTATTCAGAGTAAGGATTTCAAATGGGGATATTACCCTAGATTGAGTATCTCAAAAGGGTGAGGTGAATGAAGGATATATTTTTCAACTGAAAGTGACTTGATCATTATTGTTTTTAAAGATAGAACATGGGTCCCTATTTACAGCTTAATAAAACAGTAATGTATGCCCAGATTCCTTGGGCACCTGTACCAATATGGGAGACCAGGAAAAAGCTCATGGTTTCCAATGGGCTCAGCTTTGGTCACTGTGTCCATTTGGAGAGTGAATTAACATATATAAGATCAATTAATCTATCTATCTCTCTTTCTCCCTTCTCCTTCTCTTCCTTCTCCCTCTCTCCCTTTTCATCCTTCCATTTCTTTTCTTTCCCCTCTCTCTGTAAATTCTCTTTCAAATAGAAATAAATAAAATAAATCTTTACAAAGAAAATAGGATGTATAACATGAAGAAGGGACATGGGTGATCTCCAGAAGTTGTTTGTCCACATTTAGCTGGAAAGGAAGTAAGGACAACAAGACCAAAATGTCAAGCCACTGAAATTGTTTGATTTTCACTGAACATATGAAATACATATATATATATACATATATATACATATAAATATATATATTCATGGGTCTGAGCACTTGAGCCATCTTCTCCTACTTTTCCAAGTGTGTTAGCAGGGAGGTGGATTTGAAGTGAAAGATGGGACACAGATCAGTACCCATATGGGATGCCAATAGCACAGGTGGTAGCTTAACTCTAGTTCATGCTGGCCTGTAAGCAACTGACATCTGTCAGCATCTTGATTGAGCAGGATTCATTTCTCAGTTACATTGCTGCTTAGGTGTCGACATCCCATGTCAGAGTGTCTTTGTCTAGTCCTGAATATTTTTCTTTCCAGCTCCTTGCTAATGCACACCCAAGGAAGTAACAGGTATTTACTCATTTTCATCCATTCTATCCATGTGATCTGAATGCAGTTTCTGGCACCTGGCTTCAGCTGATCCATCCCTGACTGTTGTGGTTATCTGGGGAGTAAACTGGCAGATGGAAGATCCATGCCTGTATATCCACCTATCTGGATTCCAAATAAAATAACTCTTTTGAAGGAAAAAATTAAATTTTTCCTAGGGACTTCAAAAAAACTATATGGCCCTACCTATGTAGGAGGACATTGTGAGCCTGGAAGGTCAGCGAGCACAGGTTTGCAGTTCATTGGACAATATTTGCATGACAACAACCAAATGGCTACCTTTGGTATAAACAGCATGTAAATGAGAACACCTGGTGTAATATACAAAACAAAAGGAATTCCAATCAAGAGAGGGAAACAGTATGGATTCTCAGTGTATAAAGTCTGATGCCCCTAATAAACTTCGGCTTTGACCATCAGTCAGGGTCCACGCATGTTATTATTGGCTCCGTGCACCAAGTCCATCGCTGCGGGACAGCGACATACCTAGATATTGATTATAACATGATGAGATCCATTTTGAACTGCTTTTTAAATTATTTATGTATGTATGTATTTATTTATTGTGGACAACAGGCCTTATTATAGTACTTCCATAACCGTATCTCCAAATGTATTTTACATTGAACATTTGCAAATTTATCACATACTGGCAATACTTGATCTACAGATTGACATATGTAATGTGTAAGTGATCTAGTGCAGCTTTACACACTACTACAACTGACCTTTAAGCAACACAAAATAATAACCTTGTGACTCTGGAGGTCAGAGAAAAAAAGTAACTTGACAGAGGTCTATCCCTTCTGGAAGCTCTAGGAGGTCAATTCATTGCCCTGCCTTTCCAGCTTTGAGAGGCTACCTGTATTCCTTTTTTTAATATATAAATTTTATTTTTTTTAATAATGATTATATAGTTGATCAGGGGGCGCCAAATTGTCCCATCCAGCAGGACAGTCAACGGGGGTCGCAACCACCTAGGAGAGATTGGGGGACAAGAGACACGAAGAATGGACAGCTTTGCTCAACCAGCCACACCCATTCTGGTTCTTGTTGTTGGGTGTTGCAGCCCAGCAATACCTGGTCTGCGCCCAGACACAGCTTTCACATAGTTCAGTGGGAGTCAAGACCTAGTCTGTCCTGTTCTATACCTAACCTGGCTCTCACGAGTACCAGTGGGAGCTGGAGTCTAGCCCAGTCTACTGCTCCACCTTCCCAATGCACGCACCACACATGGTGCAGTCTATAGCCATGAACAGCCATGTCTGCTGCACTCAATGGAATGTACCAATGGAAACCCTAACCAAACCGGGGTGCCCCTTTGTCTCCCCAGCAAGGCCTGATCTCTTCCGCAGTGCTTGGAGGAGCCAACAGAGATTGTAGTTCCACAGGGGTGAGCCCACATTGTCCCCACAGATTCTGCAAATAGGCCGACTTCTCTCAGTCTTGTTCTCCCCTCCAAACCAATTTGGTGTAAGTCCCCTACTTGCATGCACATGTCATTGTTTGTTGTAATTTATTAGAACTACAGTAGAAAGCGAATATCAATTATCTGTGATCTCGGATGGTTCAACTTAAACATTTTTCAAGTTCATGATGGTATAGAAGCAAACACATCCAGTTAAACTGCTGTATTTTTGAATTTTGATCTTTTCCCGAGCTGGTATATGTGGTATGATGCTGGTTAGCAGTTTGGAGTAGTGGCAGTAACCGTCAGCTTCCAGTGAGATGCATAATCATGAGGAGGAAAAACCAATGGAAGTGGGTATTTGTTATGGCGGATAACAGACACTGAATTTGAATCCCAGTTCTGTTTCCCACTAATGTGAACTCTGGGAGACACCTGGTAATTGATGAAAATGCTGAGTGTCTACAAGTCATCTGAATTGTGATCCTGCCTCCTGGTTTTATTCTGACTCAGTCCCAAGACTTGCAAGCCTTTGGGGAGTGGAGCAGCAAATGAAATTCTTTTCACTCTGATTTTTATAGTAAAAGTAAATCAACTAATTGCTAGATTTCTGATGTTTAGTTATTGGGTATTTTGGAATTAAAAATTTTTGAAATAGTATTATTTAGAAATATCTCAATTATAAGTTGCAGATTGTCTGTACAGGTATTTTTAAAGATGCTAATGAAATATTTAAGTTGTTGGACAGATTCAGAAAATATCGTCACTCTCCTATAAACATTTATGCCTACACAAATACAGATACAGTTACATGATTCAATCTGAATCCTTTTTTCATAATTTTGAATTATATAGAAGAATTTATTGAGCAAGGATCATTTAAATTTCAAATGTTATGAATGATTGATTTTGTGATATTAACTTACTCCATAGACAACATAAATGACTGAATATTTCATGACTATTAGCACTATGAAAGGACACTCAGTTATGTTTTATTATTAAAGATTATTGATTATTCCTAGCCGAAAAGATGTTCACAATTCCTTGTGTGGAAATGAAGCAGTGTTGTTTGTTTCTTCTAGCTTGAAGAGCTTTTCAGTTATAATTAGGTTGAGTCTACCAACAGTGTATAAGGAGGATAAAATATATCTACAAAAATTTTTCATATCTTTTATAATACTTCTATTATCTTGAGGCATTGCAGCAATTCTTATTCTGTGTTTTCCTAGGTATAAACCTCAGGAGATATCCACCTCCCAAGGGTTTTTGTTTTGATGAATCAAGGAATCCATTCTGAAATATCTAGCCTCATGAAACACGAAAGAAGAATAGTATCAAGCAGGATTTTTACATTTTAGACCTCTTCAGTAATTTCAAACATGCTCAAGAATTCAGTGACTCTTCCCCACGTACTTCACTGGCATTTAGAGGGCTGGATGTAAAATTGTGTGTGTGCCAATAAAATGTATCATACTGTATCCTAGGCTTTATGGAGATTTAAGGATTATTGTGTCCCTAGCTTATAAATCAGCCAAATGGCTTGTGTCTTTTCCTTTCCTTGTGATAATTTAAATCATGATTATATGCATTTTATGATTCCCAATGTTCCTTAACATCTCTTTGTAGCACACCAAAAGAAAACTAATAAACAAAATGTTTATACTCAATAGGGATGTATCATAATTCGTATGATGCTTTGAGTTTTAGGTAAGATTGATTTTTGTGACATCTGATTCAAAAGATTTTTGCTCAGGCTTTGTAAACTGATTCAATGTGGCTTTAGCTTTTCAGTGTTGATCGCTTTCTCGTAGCATGAGCAGCTCTCCATTGTTTACTGGAAGTCTGTTCTGATGGTAGGGATGTTCAGGTTCTTCACCATTACTCTACCTCCATTTGGGTTTTGGAAAAGACTGAGCTAGAAACATCAGTTCTTTATAATTTAACTCCAAATTCACTAATTCCTCAACTGTGTATCACTTACTTTTATATGCAACATATTTGAAAAGAAACTTTTGTACTGAGTCATTTTTTTCTGTGCAACCCTAAGTAGCACAAGCACATGCCATAAAGAAGCCATGGTTTTCTCATTTGCAAAGTGCGTCCAATGGATTTACTCATGATAGCATCATGACGGTGCAATGAGGTAATAGGCCAGTTAATCATGTTTAAAAATGGAAACAAACATAAAATGGTTGGACAAAGGTTTATATAGGATCTTAGCTGGAAACTCTGTAGATTACATTAAATTTGCTAGATTTGCCTGCTTACTTCCAATTCAAAATGTTTTCAAGAAATTGTTAGTGGAGAATTCAGTATTTCATAAGCATTCTTTGTCATTGTATTTTTATTGGTAATGGTATTATTAATTTGCAAATTATGTTCATTTTGAATGAATGCTTTTAATTATAATGTTTTTCCTGCTTCATACTTTGCATCGCGTTAACATTCAATTTTCAGTTTTCTCCTTCAGGGAAAATATTTTGTTATAAAAGTGTTACAGTTTGTCATTGAGCCTTTCCTAGTAAGGCAACAGATATCAACTGATTAAATACATTTGAACGCTTTTCATTTTGATGTACTTATTTTATTTGACTTTTTTTTTTCTTTTAGGCCACAGACCCTGATGCTGGAGTAAATGGACAAGTACACTACAGTTTGGGCAATTTCAATAATCTTTTTCGCATCACATCAAATGGAAGTATTTACACGGCTGTAAAGCTAAACAGAGAAGTCAGGGATTACTATGAACTGATTGTTGTGGCATCTGATGGAGCAGAACACCCACGTCATTCAACTCTGACCTTGGCCATCAAGGTCTTGGATATTGATGATAACAGTCCTGTATTTACCAATTCTACATATACTGTTGTTGTGGAAGAGAATCTGCCAGCTGGGACCACCTTCCTTAAAATTGAGGTAGGGGAAATAAACATTTTATCTTTAAGATTTTTTTTGTTTTGCTTAGTTTTTAAGATTTATTTTTAATTTTACTGGAAAGGCAGATTTACAGAGAAAAAGACAAAAAGATTCCCTGTCTGCTGGTTCACTCCTTAAGTGGCTGTAATGGCCAGGGCTGAGCCAATCTGAAGACAGAAGCTAGGAGCTTCTCCTGCGTCTCTAGTACAGATACAGAGTCCCCAGACTTTGGACCATCTTCTACGACTTTCCTAGGCCACAAGTAGGGAGCTGGATGGGAACTGGAGCAGCCATGACACAAACCAGCACTCATACGGGATGCCAGTTCTTGTTTCTAGTTAGTCATTAAGCCAGCCCCTAAGTTTGAAGATTTTTAAGACAGCAGTTTGCCAAATTTTATCAAATAAAACTTCAAGGAAGTTGGCTAAATTTCGATTGCAGATAAGTAGTATATTTTACTATATTTCAAATATTGCATCTTAGGTGAAAACTGCATCATAGGGGGTCTCAAAAAATTAAAGGAAGAAACATTATGTTTTAATGTTTAACATTATGTTTTAAAAATGTAAAAGATAAAAATACCTTTTGAAAGGTTTAAATTCATAAAAGCAGTTTTATTTATCCTAATGGTTCATGATGCAAAAATATTTTCTCCTAGCTTATGCTTCCAAAGTCTCCAAACATTAGACTTTATGTATATACTATTTCCCTTTATCTTTGAGCTCACACAAATATTTGTGCTTCTATATGTATGTATATATGTGTGTATGCATGTGGGGTATCCGCAAATATAAGTCATATACATGATTGCATATATGTGTGTGTTTCCCTGTACTTCACAGATATTCTTTTACTCATGCTTTAATATTGTTTCCACCTTAACACATCATAAGGGAATTTCAGGGATCCAAAAAAATTTTTAATGTCACTCAAGTATCCAGATCTCCTTTTCAGTTTTCAGTGAAAAGAATCATGTTATCAGGGCCCAGAACAATAGCCCAATGGCAGATATCCTCGCCTTGCATGCACTGGGATCCCATATGTGTGATGGTTCATGTCCAGGCTGCTCCTCTTTCCATCCAGCTCCCTGCTTATGGCCTGGGGAAGCAGTCGAGGACGGCCCAAAACCTTAGGATCCTGTGCCCATGTGGGTAACTCAGAGGAAGCTTCTGACAACGGGCTTTGGAGAGGCTCAGTTCCCTTGTAGCCACTTTGGGAATGAACCAGGGGACGGAAGATCTTTCTCTGTTTCTGCTTCTCTCTGTATATCTGACTTTCCAATAAAAATATACAATTGCTTTTAAAAAAATTTTAAGATTTTTTTTTTACAATTATCTCTATAAAAAAGTATCATATCAGAAAATTTCACATATTGATTCAGTGTTTTATCAGGCTGATCCACAAATCTAAGCTTTTGAACATTCAATCCATTTCATTCTTACACAAACTGGTCATTCGATATCTTTAGAAAGACAAAAGTATGTCTGTAATCCCTCCCCAAAGTATAACTTTAAATGTGTTAGCATGGTTTTCATGATCTTGTGTATCTCAAATCAGAAAAACAAATTGCTTAGACAGTTGACTGATGTAAGAGGATGAGTCGTAACAAGACCCTTGCCTCTTCCTTTGTTCCTCCGTCTCTGCCTTCACTCAATGAGCACACACATTCTGTGTGTGATCGCATACCAAGTGCACAGCTCAACTTCACAGATGCAAAGTTAAGCATGACAGATCCCTTGCTATGAGTTTTTAGTGTAGGATGATTACTAGACAAATACCTTGCTGGTTAAAACAAAGGAAAGGCCCCAAAACAAACATATAAGGCAGGTGGAAAATCACAGCTAGAGCTTCTCATCTAATCCTGAGAGCAGACATAGTATTCACTCGAGAACGATGTTTCTAAACTGTAAAGTGAAGGGCTACATAGAAGTTATTGAAGCAAAACAGTGAACAAATCTGTTTAAAATATTTGGAAAGAAGCAATTGAGGGCGCAAAGGGCAAGGAAATGTCATGGTTCTTCTCACTGTGGTCAGGGGATTAAGGGTAATTGAAAATGTAATTGGGAAACAAGAATCGTAGGGCAGAAAGCAGACATAAGGTTTAGCAACATCTTTCTATCACGCCATGAATTCACCAAAGGCGGCCAAGGCTGAAGTTTACATTAAGAGTGATTTCATTAACAAATGCACACTTTAACAAACCTTGACCTTCCCCATTTCCATCTCGGTGATTCCACTCTCTCTGAGCTACCCTGACTGGAGAATAGATTCATCATCTTCCATAAAATCTTAACCTTCCAACTATAAGGTTTCGTTCACAATTCAGAACCCTTACAAACAACATACTGACATTTTTTTTCATTATATTTTGGTATTTCAGTTTTACTTATTGTTTGAAAACATCAATTGGGGAGTACAAACGGTATCTTGATTCACTTCATTGCTCTCTGTAAATATGTAAAAAGATTTGAACAAACTGCAGAATTATGAGAAGGATTTGTTACTCATATACTATTAATCTGTTAGTGTTGGTCTAATAGTTATGGAAATAATCCAATAATACTTTCATATAAAGTATTACTTTAATGATTACTAAACTAATGAAAAGAATAAATACACATCTATGATATTATTTTTTCTTGACCATGGTGTGATAGATTCAATTGCAGGTATTTAAGGCAAAATAGTATAATGCCTGACAAATCATGTGGACTAATTTCTCTTTTCTTCTCTCATTCCCTTTTCATGCCTCCCTTACCTTCTCTTATACATTTCTTAAAGTATTTTTTTAATGTCTTTTGGTGATCCTTAAGTTCATGGTCTCCTGGTGTATGATTTCCACCAGTCAGGCATGTCTCTGTTTTGATAAGGCCATAACAGAAGTATTCTGCTTAACTTGCTACAGGCCAAAGATGCTGACCTTGGGGCAAATGTGTCTTATCGGATAAGAAGCCCAGAAGTGAAGCACTTTTTTGCACTGCATCCATTCACAGGAGAGCTGTCCCTTCTACGGAGTTTGGATTATGAAGCATTTCCAGATGAAGAAGCAACTATTACTTTTCTTGTGGAAGCTTTTGATATTTACGGGACAATGCCACCGGGCATCGCAACCGTCACAGTGATAGTAAAGGTAAGAAGTGGCAGATGACTGCTGATTGCACACTTTGCTCCTTCTGTATGTGTCTTTGTTTTTCATATACTATGTATAGTGTGTTGTGGCAGCAAGTCGCCGTGGCATGGCACTACCAGAGCCAGACACTGACATTTTTAATGTGAAGTGTTTGTGATAGACGTGAGAAATAATTATAGTTCAGATGTAAATGTTAAACTTGAAAGAGACAATGGACACAGGCTTTTTCTGCCTGTGGCTATATGGATCTCCCATTGCATCTTTAGCTTTTGGGTGTCTAAGGTTTGCCTTAACACTGGACACACATAGACCTGCAGTCTAAGATGCGTTAAAGGTGAATTGCTTAGTACTGTTGTTCTCGGTAGGCAACTAAGGGTGTTATGTCATTTGTCTCTTACTGGCTGCCAATGACTCTACAAATGCCCAGATGCGTTTCTGGCAGGACTAGGACAAAGTTTCTGTGGATGACTCCAGTTTTGAAGGTGATTGCACTGTAAAATTATAGAAGCCCAGCATTATAACACAAACAAGGTCAAGTGTGACTTCCCTAAGATTTCCATTTTTATAGAACACTACATCTAGAAACCATCAAGGAAAAGTTCATCATGTTGTCTGGCTCTTTGATTAACAAAATCAAAAATAGCTATTTATTTTTTGGATGATAAAATATTGAACATGTGAGATACTATAGAAGAAATAAATAGGATGTAATTAAAACTACACCAATAACATTTGCATAGCAGCCTTTTCCAGCTTAGGCTAAAGTTCTCCACATACGAATTTTGTAAAGATAATGCTTCCAACAGAATGGAACACAGTAATTGCCCTGTTGCTGTTTTTTTTTGTTTGTTTGCTTGCTTTTGTTTTGGCATTCACCTTGAGATCATATGTCAGCAGACATATCTGTGCCATTTTTACCATCACTGAGGCTGCAGCCTCTACACTACACTGGAAATGGAGGGCACTAACCCCCTCCATGGTCACATATCCCAAACCTCTACGAAATTGTGTCAGAATCTTAGTTGCTGCTTTCTCCCTGGCCCTTGTGGTCACAGGCTTGCGTTTGTCCAATTTGGGTCTGCTACATGAAGACATTAAACTGTGTAAAGGGCTAGGAAATATCTCCATCTGAGGCATTTAAAATTGTACTCAGAGCTACCTTTTATTTGGCAATAAGTACTCAAACACTCAAAATCTTTCCGTGAGTGTTCTGTTTCTCCTCTTCACCCAGCTTCCCTGAAGTGGTGATTTTTGTATTCTTCTGATATGAAGAGAGGTCAAAGGGTATCACAGAAATCACAGCCAGCCTAGACAAAGGGGGAAAAAGAGTTTATTTTCTATTTTGAAACATTATTTTTTCCACACCATTGTTACTACAATATAGTAATACTGTGCCAACTGGAAGTTTAAACATCTCTGTAGAAAAGTCCAAAGAATGGGATATCGGTGGCTGTGAGAATGTCATACTATGTAAACAAATAACTTCTGCCACTGGGATGAAAACTAATCCAAATGGACTAATTTTAGCAAAATGACTTCTAGATTAGGAGAGATTTTTAGGAAACTTTCTATGATCGTTCATATGGTTTGGTGAAATTGAACATGTCCAGCATGACAAACTAAACAATTGATAACCTGCTGAAAAAATTTGGACAGAGGAGGGAAGAAAAAAAATGATATTAGTCACCCGCCTCCATCCCTTCTCACCCATTGATAAATTGACACCGAAGTGACAAAGTGGCCCTTTTCTTTCTGGAGAAAGTGCTTGATAATAGGTGTGTGTCAACACTCAGGGACACTACTCTGGCTGCCTCTGGATTAAGTTTGGGCTCATGTATTTGCCCAATTTGATGGAAGAAATCAAATTGGACTCCAGACTCTCATCTGAAGAATACAATATGCATTAGACATTCCTGGGACCTGCGCTTCCAGGTGTTCTCTGTCCACCCTGTGGCTAATGTGGGAAGAATCGTCTCAGGCTTACCACCAGCACCTGAGAAGGATTTACTCAATAATGATTGTGATTTATTCCTTGAACATAGTAGAATCTGGGTCCTATTTTTATTGTCTTCACTTCTTTTTCTTACTAAAAGTGTTCAACCATTCCCTTGACCAAAGATTCCTGACCTGTACCTACTTGTTTATTTTGATGGTACAGGCAAAACAAAAGAATTATGGATATTAATTTTCATTCTTTTCAAGTTGTTATGAGCATAAAAGGATTAATATGAAATTTCCCCAAATGCAGACTGATATTTGATTTTTAAATTTTTGGTTGAGAATGTCAAAAAACAAAATGTGAAAGCTGACTGTATGCCATTGAGGTTTGTAAAATTATCTTTGCTTGTTTTTATAGAATAATGAAGAAAAATTTCTATTTTGCTGCAAATGTAGACTTTTCTCGAGTTTGCCGATTTTGAGCTACTGGTCTATTTACTTGTAATACTGACAAGCTGTTTTGTTGATATTATAATTGCATGGTATTTACTCAGAGATATTTGTATCCAAAATAATCACCATGGGGAAATCATCTTGAAGATTTCTCTCTGAAAAGAAGCAGAAATACAATTTCTATTGTAGGAAAGAAGAAAAAGCAGAATATAGTGTTTATGTCTTGCTGATCAAAATCATTTTAAATTTGGGGAAGAATGGGAAAATAGGAGTTATATTTCAAAAGAAAAATAGGTCTGCAAAATAAACAATATGCACATATCAGTGACACCTGCAAAAGAAAATAGTGATGTGCAGTAAAATACCTGTATTTTTGGTTACAAGGAATTCATAGAACAATAAGAAAACAAAGGCTGTTTTCTTGAATAATTTTACTGGCCTGGTAGGTAATTGAATCTGTGAGGATATTGTATAATGTGGATAAATATCTGAAATACCTGGAAAATAAAAACAAGCCAAGTCAGTGTGAGATCTGGCTTTACAAACTAGGTCACAATATGTATTATAGCATACAATAGAAAATACATAGACTAGGTCTATTCTACAAACTGAAAGTTGAATAAAAGTCAGTAATGCTATATGTGTAAATGTGTGTGATTCTTAACACAATTAAAAGGAGTGTTTTGTCTGCAATTGTCGAAGTTACTTTGCTGATTAGCATATACTAGGGTTTGTATGACAAAACAGTAGGTATTGCAAGATGCAACTGGTACTTTTGGTTTCTCTGTACTGTTTTCACAGGTTTCATTTATTTGAAAGAGAGAAAGACAGTGCTTCCATTCTCTGATTTACTCCCCAAATGGTCACAATGGCCAGAAATGAGCCAGGCCAGTGGCAGAAACCAAAACCTTCTAGATTTCCTAAATGGGTGGCAAGACACAAACCTTTGGGCCACCCTCCAGTGTTTTCCCCAACCCATTTACAGATGGATGATTTGGAAGTGATGCATCCAGGAAATGAATAAGCACCCATAGGGATGCTGATGCCACAGGTGCTTTACTTGCTGTACCAAAACACTGGCTCTGCACCTAGCACTTTTATCGTCAGAACAGTTTGCTACTTCTGAAAGCAAAGCCATATCCATACCCTGCAGGATATAAGAGTGGAGATTGCTTTGCTGGATGTAAATTCCATACTCAATATCAAGGTGGCATTTGTAGAAGCACTACATGTAAAATGCAGTGTCATGGATGCTAGTCCGTGACAACATCGGTGATGTTCTGGTTTTGATTAGGTCAGAGGAGACATGGGCTGAGAAACCATGGAATAGCTCAACACTAAACAATGAGGCTCTCTGGACATTTTTAAAACCAATAGATTAGGTCCTTTCCCCCTCCACAGGGAGGAATTTGAATGAAAGATGGTTTCTGTGTTGGGCATTTGGGTAATGATTAGCAAATGGAATAGTCAGTTTGTCACTCTGTTTTATGGTTTTTTTTCTGGAAAAGATTTATTTATTATTATTGGAAAGGCAAGTATACAGAGAGAAGGAGAAACAGAGAAAATTTTTCATCTGCTGATTCATTCCCCAAATGGCTGCAATGGACAGAGCTGAGACAATGCAAAACCAGGGGCCAGGAGCTTCTCTGGGGTATCCCACATAGATTTAGGGCCCCAAGACTTTGTGCCATTCTCCTCTGCTTTCCCAGGCCACATGCAGGGAGCTGGATGGGAAGTGGAATAGCCGGACACAAACCCAATGCCCATATGGGATTCTGTTGCTTGCAATGAGAAAATTAGCCAATTGAGCCATCATGTCAGGTCCTGCTTTATGCTTTTATAGCTCCTCAAATTTCACATATTCATTTCTGGAATCCATTAGAAAATATCTTAGTAGAGTGTACAATTAAATCTTTGATTTTCAGTGATTGTAATAATTTTCAGTAATGAACACTTTGGCCTTGACTAGTGAGGAAAAACATGTTGTTATTTCTGGTTGAGAACCATTCAAAAATAGTTGTTAAACATAAGAAACACTTTTTTTTTTTTTTCATTCAGACCTACCAAAAAATATAGCAACAGGGTGCAAACTCTCATGTGTTTAAATGATAAAAGTGTTAAGGGAATGGAATGGAGTTTGTTTTTGCCAATACTGCCCTCTAGTGGAACAAGCAGCAATAGAAGGAGCGTGGTTTTTGAGAGCTTTTCCTTAATCCACCGTGAAATAGAATATTTGTATAGATTCAGATTTTTTAAAATTATTTTTATTGGAAAGTCAAATATACAGAGAGGAGAGACAGAGAGGAAGGTCTTTCATCTGTTTATCACTCCCCAAGCAGCAGCAACAGCTGGAGCTGCACCAATCAGAAGCCAGGAGCCTAGAGCCTCCTCCGGGTCTCCCACAGAGGAACAGGGTTCCAAAACTTTGAGCCTTCCTCAACTGCTTTCCCAGACCACAAACAGGGAGCTATATGGGAAACGGGGCCTCAGGGACCAAAACTGGTGTCCCTATAGGATCCTGGCACGTGCAAGGTGAGGAGTTTGCCGCTAGGTTACTGCACTGGACCCTCGATTCATATTTTTATGCATTTTATTCACGTGCCCCTGAAGCACGTATATAATGAACTATTGACTATGCTTGTTGGCATTGTATTTCAATGCATTTTCTTAACTGAATAATGCATTTTGGATTTTAGCCACAGTTCAAGGTTGCAACCCCAAAATATGTACCTTGTGTCATAAAAAGAAATAATGCCACAATGACTGGATTGATTTATCCTTCACATCATCAGTGGCAAACAGAATGAAAAGGGAATGATACCAATTCTGTTAATGGCCTCTTTTCTATTTACAGCCTTGCATTTGTATCTAATCAATTTTCAGACCAGATTGTAAAAGCAACCAGTGTGTGTTGACTTAAAAGTTGAGTGTGGTGGACACTCCGCACTACCCCGCCCCCCACCCAGAAAAAATAGAAGCCATTAAACGAAGCACAGTATACAATTATATTGATTCACGTGGAAGGTACTTTTGTTTCAGAGACTCAAACTTTACGAAATAACGCTAAGGCTTTACTGTCTCTTGGAGAGGAATGCAATGAAAAGTTCTGTGAACCAGTCGAACACTGAAATGTGCAACTGGTGTGTGGAAGAGGAAGCCGGTGGGCTCCTTTCCTATCTGTAACTTGTATCAGAAGTTATAATTCAGGGATTCGCGTACCGCCCGCTCCCTTCCTGCAGGAAGCGACGCTGGAGAGCAGCGGTGTCTCGCACACTTTACTCTCCGAAGAATCCATCTTTCCTGATGCATCTCCCCCGGTTTACCATTCGGCATTCCTGTTGTAGGAGACTGCTTCAGTTTAAATATGTTTAGGTAGGTTTTTCAGGCTTTTCAAGCCTTTTTAGTCCTGGTCATATAAGACATGTTGCCCTTTAGTGGTAGTTGATATTTTTAAATAAATACAACATTGCAGCTGAAAAGAAAAGAAAAAAAAAAGAAAATCCTCCTGAATGAAGTCTCAGGACCGGTGCCCAACCTGCCCGTCCTCCGAAACAGCCAGCAGTCCGCGCGTTTGTTGGCTTGCTCAGGCGCCTTTTCCTTTCTTATCGGTTAGGTACTTTTAGTGGTAAGACAGATTTACAGAGAGAAGGGGAAACAGAAAAAGCTTGCATCCTCTGGTTCCGTTCCCCAAAGTGACCACAGTGACTGGAGCTGAGCGGCTCTGAAAACAGAAGCGAGGAACCTCTTCCAGGCCTCCCATGTGGGTGCAGGATCCCAAGCTTTTAGACCATCCTCTTCTGCTTTCCCAGTCCACAGAAGAGAACAGGATGAGAAGTGGGGCAGCTGGGCACAAAGCAGTGCATGTATGGGATACTGGTGTTTGCAGGCAAAAGATGTTAGTTGAGCCATTGTGCCACACCTGCTAGCTCAGATTGTTAAGTTCTTACTTTTTAAAATTTATTTATGTTTGCTTCTGTAAGGGTAGTGACAGATATTCTGTCCAATACTTCACTCCTCAAATGGCCACAGTGGTTGGAACCAGGAGCCTTGAGCTTCCTCCAGGTCTAGGCGCATGCTGCGTTGCCCTCCCCACACGAAAACAAGGATTGGTATTGAAAGTGGAACGACCAGGACTTGAACCGGTGCCCTTATGGGATGCTAACAGCTCAAGCAAAAGCTTAACCTACTACACCAAGGCACTGGCCCCTGAAGTTCTGAATGCATAAAGGTCTTCCTCCTAGCAGGCATTGTGACTGATACGTCAAAACCGAGGAAATCGCATTTTATTTTTCAGTTTTTGTAGTACGAATCTTCCTATTTCTTCTTAAAGGCTACAAGCTTATTCATACTTACAATTCAGGTGTCAACTCATTCTGAACATAAAATGATTTTATGTTTCTAGTAAATAATGATTCTGACCTCCTTGCAAAAAAAGAGTAACAGTCAGTTAATATGTATATTTGCAATTTGCATGGTGTAAGACCATTAATTTACTGAACAAAGATTTTATGGACTATTTTATTTTCAATAGCAAATGAGAAAACATGTTATTTGAAAGGAAGATTAGAAAAGTAATAGACTTTATGTCCAAATATGTTTGATCAAAAAAAAAAAAACTCCAAACACTGCAGGGTTCAATAATCATTAAAAAAATAATAAGCTGTGATACCACACAATTTCTTTGGAGAAAAGAAATGGTATGTAATTTTCCATAAATAATATGATTTAAAAAAAAATTATCTTGCTGTCATGACTCGATTTATTATTTGGCTGTGTTAAAAGCAGATTGAGGCGAAGTTGTTGCCCTGTCTATGGATGAGTATAATTATCAATCCAATAATAACCGCTAAGTGACATGAGTATAAGGGCATCTTTTCCTTTTTTCATTTTTTGGATGGGGAATTCAAACGGGCATTGGTTTACATCTTTTTCTTGAGTCAGCACGGCATCCCTAATACCCAGCACCGGAGCATAAAAATGTAAGGTAGTTTTGACAAATATTTATTTAATGAGTCATAGTTTATATATACTACTAAGCAGTGAAAATAAAATGTGCGTTAATCATCATGAGAAATTTTTAAGTAAATTAACATTGTTTCATATCCATAAGTGCATCTACTCTTTTTTTAAAAAATTTATTGATTTTTATTGCAAAGTCAGATATTCAGAGAGGAGGAGGAGAGACAGGCTTTCGGTCATCCGAGACTGCTTTCCGAGGCCACAAGCAGGAAGCTGGATGGGATGTGGAGCTGCTGGGATCAGAACCAGCGCCCATATGGGATCCCGGCGTGTTCAAGGCGAGGACTTTAGCCGCTAGGCCACGCCGCCAGGCCCTGCATATGCTCTTTTTAAAAAAAAAAAAAAAAAAAAAAGATTTATTTTTATTATTTTTTCATTGGAAAGGCGGATACACAGAGAGGAGAGACAGAGAGGAAGATCTTCCATCCAATGATTCACTCCCCAAGTGAGCTGCAACGGCCTATACTATGCCGATCTGAAGCCAGGAGCCTCTTCTGGGTCTCCCACGCGGGTGCAGGGTCCCAAAGCTTTGGGCTGTCCTCGACTGCTTTCCCAGGCCACAGGCAGGGAGCTGGAAGGGAAGCGGGGCTGCCGGGATGCCGGATTAGAACCGGCGCCCATATGGGATCCCGGGCGTGCAAGGCGAGGACCTTAACCACTTGAGCCACCGTGCCGGGCCCTCTGCATCCACTCTTAAGTGCAGTTATTACAGTATTCTGCAGGGAACTATTTTGTTGTTTTGCATTCATAAATATGTAAAATAGAACCAGAAGATATTTCACAGTTTGCATTGAAAACCATAGCATTATGCAAAATATACAAAATGATTTGTAACTGCTATTAAAACTTACCAAGACCTTTGTTGAAAAATAATGAAAAACCAACCAAATAAGAACACTTTTGGTGCTGTCTCATGGAATGGCATCTTTAATGAAATTTGTTTTTCGAAGGCCGATGTGGTGGCATAGCAAATTAATTGTCTGCCTACCCGCTAGTACTGGCATCCCATATTCGCACTGATTTGCGCCTTGGTTGCACTCCAGCTCTCTGCTTATGGCCCGGGAAGGCAGGGAGGCTGATTCAAGTCCCTTGCCCCTCTACCTACGTGTGAGACCCAGAAGAAGCTCCTGACTCCCACATTCAGTTCAGCTCTGACTTTTGTGGCATTTTGGGGAGTGGACCCATAGATGCAAAACTAACTCTCCTTTTCTCTTTGTAAAACAGCCTTTCAAATAAAAATATATTTTTTCTTGCTTTAAAAGGTTAAAATTTTCCATCTTTAGAAATGTCTTGAGAGCATTTTGAGTGCCACTGCAATCCCTGAGATGTGCATTTCTGGGGTCACAGGCTCCTTACTCTCGTGCTCTGGCCTTGGGTGATGCCACACACATTAATATTGCCCAGAAACTCTGGCGCTTTCCTCCGAGGTGCCCATCTGCAGTGATAATGGGGCTGGGAGTGGGGAGGGCTGACGGCTGCAGATGAATCGATTGGTGTGAAGACAAGAAGGTCACCTCATTAATTGTGTCCCTCACTGTCTTCAGTGGGAGCACTTACACTGCTAACTGTATCTTGCAGGACATGAATGATTATCCTCCTGTGTTCAGCAAGCGGGTCTATAAAGGCATGGTGGCTCCGGATGCGGTCAAGGGAACCCCCATCACAACAGTGTATGCTGAGGACGCAGACCCTCCTGTAAGTAGACGGTGTCCAACACTCAGGGACAAAGCTCTCTGACACTGAAACATGACACGATCCCAAGGCAGCATTCCCGTTCACTGTGTTGTGTGCACTGGTCTATAGCATCCACCAGTACAGCACGTATTTCAGATGATTTCTAGTGACTCTCAAAAATGAGTGCTTTAGACAATGAAAATTTACAACTCCTATACTTTGCCTTGTAGACAAATATGGAAAGATTTGTCTATATTTGGAATCATTCACATTTAGATTTTCCATTTGGGTGTGTGAACTTAGTTTAGTCTGGATAGCTTTATAATGGCACACTTTGGGTTTTATTTGTATGTGACCATTTTACTAGTAAATTCTATTATATGCCTAAAATTTGTACTGATTATATTAATTTGGCTCAACTCTTAGAATTGCTTTCAGAACATAATATGTTGTCGTATCGTTCAAAATTTGTTCTGAGATACTCTAAATTGCCTCATGTTCTCTGTAAAATTGCAGCAGAAACATAGCAAATGCTGCTTATAGGTGACTTTTTAATATGTTTAAGATAGCACGGGAATCTAGCAGTAACCAGAAAAAAGTGCTTTCTGGAAATACATGTAATTCTTTTGAAATGTTAATCTTTTCATTCAAACTGCAGCTGAATGCTACAGATTTAAGTGTTTGTTTTGAGTGATCTCACAATATAAGGCAACAAATGATGGATTCTTGAAAAAATACTAATAAAAATAGTAAGTGAACCTTCATGAGTGATTCAGAAATTGTTTTCTAGCACTAATATAAATGGTAGTTTGGTTAGGTTCTTTAACAAGTGGTGAATGGCAACCGTAACATTTTTCAGCATCCGTTGTGACAAGCTTGTATAAAGTCTATTGTGAATATAAGGTCTTGGGAAAACAATAATGTTAACATGAAAGCAACGACCTTTAACTCAGACGCTCCTTTTCTAGTGTTTTTTAAAATGATTTTGAAACTGATTTATTGCATCTTGGGAAATGTAATGGGCAGATTTTTATAGCCTGGGACACATTAATAGAGGTGGTAAATGTGAAATGGGTGGCTCATTTTTTTTTTTCTAAGTAAACAGTCACAGGCAAAACTTTCTTTAATAGCAATACCCATTCAATTCTATTTGGTGTATGAGTTTAAAGCGCCAGCTGCATGCAGATCATTGTGCTAACCAGCTTCTGTGGCCAAGAAACAGACAGGAGCAATATTTTGTCTAGCAGTCAAGATGCCTGTAATTCATTTCCGAGTATTTGGATTGGCTTCCCCACTCTGACTCCTAAACAGCTCCTGGCCAGTTTTGAACCTTGGGGACCGTGAAGATGGCTCAAATACTTGGGTTCCTGCTACCAACATGGTAGCCCTAGTTTGTGCTTCCAGCTTCCTGACCTTGGAAGTGGCTTTACCTGTGCTGCTGGGGGCACTTAAAGAGTGAATCAGAAAGCAGTGAGCCGTTCTTTCTCTGCCTGTCTTCTCTGTACCCTAGTTTTAAAACTATTTTTCAGAAACTAATAGGAATAAAAATATAAACTGACAGTCTTCTAGGAAAGAAAGAACTGTAACTTAGAAGTGCAGCAAAATGTATCAAATACTTTAAAAAAACAGAGTTTTAGCATACTCACATGTCTAAGAAATTGTCCTTTGTGTAAGATTTAAGCTTATGTGTTTAACAAGAGAGTAAAAGTAGTGCTAAGCTCCACCTGTTTGAAACTCACTGCACAGTTTGAGTACAGATGACAAACTTACTACTTTATTTCTTCAACCATGCCTCTGTGCCCAGTTGGAGCCTCAGTTTGGATTTGGTGGCTGTAACAATTCAATGAGGTGATGCATATTTATATCTAGCTCAGCCATTGACCCTCGCATATTTGGTATCTCCAGTATTCAGGAACGACAATTTACATTTTTAGAGGTTGGCCCGATCTTTTATTCAAGACATCCTGTTTCTTTTGAATGTAATAAAAACCACGTATTTTAATCTAGAAAACAACAACAAAAAAACCTTTGAAGTATCAGATGGAGAAGCTTGGGTGAGGTCTGAAAGCCAGAGAGAGCACTGTGGCTGAATATAAATTAAGAATTATAAAATGCATGTTGTGCAAAACTAAAGTGCTCTACAGGGGGAGAGAAGGAATCCCCTAGAGACTTCCCTTCACCCCAACTGCAGGACTGCTTTTTTCAGCTCTGCTGTTGTGAAAGGACTAACATCCAATCACTCACAGGAGAAGTTAGGAGCGAATTGCTGATTATTTTGTATATTAAAAATTGCTAACCTTTCCTTTCTGCTTGTCAAAACCTTCGTACTTCAAACCTTCACACACACACACACACACACACACACACACACACACACACACACACACACAACCGTGAGAAAAACCTTCAAGTGTCATTTCCGCTGTATATTGTCATTCTTTCCAAACCTGTAGGGAAAGCTCTGCAAAACAAGGCTTCTTGCTGAAGTTAAGGTCAAATAGCTGTCAGAATCGATCATCAGTGAGTCCTCGGCGGTGGGACCATTACAATACTGGCAGAAGATCAATAGAATTCAGGTTTTGCTCCTCCCATGAAGGCACGTGTAGGAAACTCAGCGTGCCTGGTTGCTACACTTTTCTCTCCATTATAGAAATTTTTTATAAAATTTCATCTAAAATGATTGGAATAATATCTGGTATCAGCAATTTTGTCTAAGTCTCCTATCTCTATAGTAGTGCATTTGGAGAATTAGGTCCACATGTAAGATTTATTTTTTAAGGGTTTAGGACTGATTTATGAAAAATGCGTTCCATGAAAATCTTATAAATTCTCAGTAGCAATTGCCGTTAAAATCAATTCCCTGTCACTGGTTTTGCTACACCTTTTCCAGAAAGTATAAATGTATGGACACTATAATAAACACTATAATGCATATTAATAACAAAGTATTCATTTAAATGACTTTAAATTGATATCAACTGACAATTGTTTGAATAAAGAATAATTCATAGGTACAAAGAAGCAGAAATTGCATGTGGAAATATCTCCTTTCCCTACATTGAACATTTCTATTAACCTTCCAAAGTGGAGATGGGTGACCTGAAGAACAGTTTGCCAGGGTTTTCTTCAGTGTTTTAAACCCATCTCAATCCTAGGGTACATTGTTGACCTCCAGGGAGTAAAGGAGATTTCCAATTTTTTCCTGTAACATCATTTATTAAAATGTCACCAAATAGTGCAATTGTGGTCATCTTCTCAAAGCATTTAGACCTCCAAATAGTCGTTCTGCTGCAGCCTGTTTACGAAAAGACTAATAGGAGAAGGAAAGGAGCCGTCATCTTCATTTGCTCCTCTCCAGTTTTTGCTGTATGTGCAATAGTAAAAATTACTGAGCCAGAAGTTTTAAAATACTTCCATCTCCAGACAATATGGTCCTTCAGTACCGTTTTCCTTTGCTGTCTCACTACTGATCTGTGTTTTATCCCTCTGCGCACAATGGCTTGTGTTGTTGCATCGTATTGATTTAGGATATTGCTGGCAATGTAGCAGAAACTCTTGTTTTGAAGATCAGCAGCTACTAACTATGATTCCTGATTGCTGACCATGGAGCATGAGGGGAAAACATACACAGCTCAGTGTTTTGGTTTGTTTTTTCCTTCACATCAAAGTTAAATAGGGAAATAATCAGGAACTATTTCCATCGTGAATGTCAGCTTGTGAAAACTGAGATGACGTAGCTGCAGCCTGAATCCCTTTGGTCTCAAGGACTTAATTAGAAAGAAAGCATACAACAAAACAGCTGGGGCTTGATCTTTCAAATGACAATGGATTATAACTAAATTTGAAAATGTAAATTTGTACATAGGGAAGGTTTTATAAGAAAGTCTGTACTTGAATAATGTTTGGAAAAGGTTTATTCCTCTACATGCTTTAAGAATCTATGCTATTTACTTCTTTGTGTGGTATATAGATTATTACACAGCATATAATATATGATAAGGAGCAGTGTTAACAATATCTGTATTGTTAATATTATTTGAGATTAATATTAGAATTCCTGTTTCAAACATGCCCAGTTTTCTCTAATTAAGAAACTCACATTTGCCTAATCATGTCCTCAGTTCTATTTTTTTTCTTTAAGTACAGGATTTCATTTTTGTTAGGATTGAATAATAACAATAATGCTACTTTTACATATACACCACATTTTTTATCCAGTCATTTGATACTCTTACCTTGATTAATTCTGTATTTTGGCTATTTGACTATTACTGCAATGAACATTGGAGAACAGATACCTTTTTTTAATAAAAGATTTATTTCATTTTTATTACAACAATGGAGTTACAGAGAAGGGGCTGTAGTGGGAGGAAGAGAGTTCTTCCCTCTGCTAGTTCCCTCCCCAGTTGCCCACAATAGCCAAGGTTGGGTCAGGTTGAATTCAGGAGTCAGGAGCTTCATCCCATTCTCCCTGGGGTGCAGGTGCCCACGCACTTGGGCCATCCTCTGCTGCTTTTTCCAGGCTATTAACAGGGAGCTGAATGGGAAGTAGAAAGCTGGGACTTGAACCGATTCCCATATGAGATGCCAGCAGTACAGGTAGCTTAACTCACTATGCTGCCACACTGGCCCCAAGCAGAGTTGTTTAATAGAATATTTCTATGTCTTTTGGATATATATTTACTAGTGGCATGGCTTGATTAAATGACAACTGTATTTTTTAAAGAATCTCCATTCTGCCTTATATAGTAACTGCATTGATTGACATTGCTATCAATAGTCTATATCAATTTTTCTTCCTCCACTTCCTCATCAGCATCTGCTAGTTTCTGTATTTTTGATAGTTTTCATTCTGGCAGGGGTGAGATGATAATCATGGTTTTTATTTGAACTTCCCTAATTGCATATTTGAAACACTTTTTACTATATAAACATGAAACAGATGACAGGCTACTAAAGGCTTGAATCTAAACTTTTATTCCGTTTGATTTGCTAATTATTGAGAAAGTCTACACCTATCA